GATTTTGAAGGGCTGGTTGATGATCCTAAAGAAGTAGGTAGTGATATTGATGTAAATTATCAGCCAGATTCCTAGCTATGGTTAGGCTATGCATTCTTAGCTAAACGCTATGTACTGAAATCTGTTTTTTGCCCATAACTTATTTATTTGCAAATCTACTTCCTTATATTATTATATATTTGTAATCCTCATTAAATTTAGAACAAAGTGGCTATTTTCAAATTTTTATAGGCCTATAATTTATACAATTTCATTGAGCGCAAACTTATTTTTTTTTTTCAATTTTTCAAAAATATTTTTTTTTACCTAAAGATTTTTTTTTTAAACAAATGTTCCTTATGTTTTATGTATAATATTGAAGCCCATGATTTTCCAAAAAAAATGGTATATAGAACAGTAGAATTAACATTGTTTTTAATCTTCTCAGATCCGTTTTAATAAAACCTTGCAAATGCGCAAAAAATAGGTGGACATTAAGGCCTAAACTATGGACACTCGGAGGGTTAAACGGAGAAATTATTTTGGGGAAAGTGGATCTGAGGTTAATCTAGAGTTTAAACCACGATCAGAGTTAAACTTGATTTGGGGAAAGCGGCCCTTAGGATATTAGACGTAAAAATAACCAAAAACTACACGATTCTACAGACAAACTATAATTTGTACAGACAAAACTGTAATTTTATTTATAGAAATAACCATAAAAATGACATATTTATTTTCTATTTAAATACAATTAGATTTAACAAGTAAGTTACGGTACTCAGGATTGCTGCTACAGGGAAGGTAAAAAGTATTTTTTGACCAAACAATATAATAGCATAGGATGAAATCTATATATTTAACGTTTGAGGTGTCAAATTAAAGGTATTTTCACTTATATGTGCAAATATGTCTCAGAATATTAAGAAAGGGCATCACTTCAGTACAATTAAGGGTTAAATTTTGGGAACGGTGGCGCTATCTGTTCACATTAGATCAAAGCATCAAACTCAATTCCCTTTGTTTACAACTAAACATATGGAGGTAGTTTGAAATAGTTTGTAAGGTTAACCACAGACTGTATTACTTCCGGTGGGGCACACAGAAGATTTCTCAGGTGCCGTTTGACGTCACTAACTGCTGACGTCACTAACTGCTGCGTCTGAAGAAACAGACAATTTTATAATTTTCTATTATTAAATTAAACTGTCATAACCTAACCAAACTAACCAAAGGTGCTGAAAATGGAAAAATCGAATAAAAGGTTTACTAATCTAAAAAATAGTTTTTTCATAAAATAAAATTATAATTGCCTAAAATTCAATTTTATAATTTTTTAATTATAAAATTAAACTGTCATAACCTAACCAAACCAACCAAACTTGCTGATATGAAAATTGTTGATAAAAAGTTAGTGCCGCCGGCGGGATTCGAACCCGGAATATTTGGATTATCAGCCCGCAGCGCTATCCACTGCACCACCGAGGCCGATGGCTCATACCGTATCGTAGCGGTATTGGTGTTCCCTCAAAGTGACGTCATCAGTTAGTGACGTCAAACGACACCTGAGATATCTTCCGTGTGCCGTTTCGGTATTACTTCCAGAGTAAAGCCTATTTTTATTTTAACATCTGTTAATTTAAATAAAGAGTTTCTCCTAACAAGTACAGGGTGGGGCAGCATAACTTCCTTTTTTTAAAGCTTAATAAAACGCATTGTATGAGTCAGACAAACTTTATTTGGTTTTTACAATGTAAGTACATTCCTAAAGTTTTGTTTTACGTAGTTTTGAAGAGTAAATCATGCAGGTGTTGTCCCCCATTCTAGATACATTGAGTATACCGATTTTTTGCGATTTCTAGTGTCTTCCATTACCCTTTCAAGCATAGCAGGCGTCATGTTGGCAATTTCTTCCTGGATCTTGTTTTTTTTTAAATCTTGAAGGGTCCCTGGGCTGTCCACATAAACTCGGGACTTCAAAAAACCCCATAGAAAAAGTCGCAAGAGGAAAAATCAAAAGAGATTGAGCCGGCCATTGCAAATCGCCCCTGATTAACATAAGGCGTTTTGACAGTTCCTGCTCAATCACCATCTTTTATGGATGGAATTGTAGGTCATCATGGAGAATTCTCGTTACAGAACGATTGGAAAGTCCAAGTGGAGACTCATGTTTGAGCGCACAAGACAAAAACACGCTTCTGTTTGAGCGCGTGTCTTGGTGTTTGCAACATTGAAGCTCTCACTGCCTCAATGTTCTCAGTGAACTAATGGGACTCCAGTTTTTCGTTTTGTAGCACTTGCAGTTTGTCTAAACGTATTGAACCACATAACAATTGATTTGCGGTCCGGTACAAGGGCCAATGGGGCTAAATAAAACTGATTCTGAAAGGCGCGCTGGGTTACGATCACTGAACATCCACTCAAAAGGTAGGCCTGAACGGCAAACAAATGCTCTTCACTGTTCCAACGCCTCTCAAACGAGACTGCTAGCTCTTCGCTATGACATGAACAAACAAAATGGCGCACATTTAAAAAAAGGAAGTTATGCTGCCCCACCCTGTATAATAACAAGTATATAATAACAAGTATATAAAAATTGGAACGAATGGTGTTTTTGGCCTCTGGGGACATCAAAATGAAAAAGTAAATTGGTCCCGGGCCTACGTCTTACAGTGCCAGCTATGGTAATAGCTACTTCCCTATAAGGAAATTTGCTAAAATTGGGCATTCTCATGTTTTAAGTGTAAAAATTTGAAAAAAACAATGATTGAACCAATAATACTCTGTTCCAATGACCCAATCTTTCTGGTTCACAAACTCATCCAAATTTATCCCTCCCTACACCTTCAAGTCAAATTTTATAAAATCGGACCAAAATAACTTGAGATATTGCAGAGATATATTTGTTCAGGAACACACATATATTATATTTATTAAAATTTGAACTGTAGTGTTTTTAGAGTCTGTAGACATCAAAATGAAAAAATTAAATCGGTCCTGGGTCAGGTCGTGCCTCTTATGGTAATAGCTACTTCCTTGTAGGGAAATTTGCTATGAAGTTATATGTTCTACCCAAATGGAGCACAGCAATATAGGCTGGGACTCTGAACCTGAATCAATCACTGAAAATTATAACTGTAATACAATAATGCCACATTGTCAGTGATCATTGGTCAACTCTCAGCAGGTGAACAAACTCTACAACACAGGGTAGAACTGTTTGATCAGCCAAATAGGTCAGGGGTCGGCCAACTACAGCATAGGGGTTTTTTTTTTCAAGCCCTCGGTTACACTCCAAGACGGCACTGACGTAGTAAAATAGGTGTAGCACCACTGGCATAGACCTTGGACGGTTATTGTTCCTCAGTCCTGATAGCTGGGTCATAAACAATGCAACAAAACTGTCTACAAATTGATATTTGTTTTTTTATGGCTTCATCTCTTGCAATTGCACGGAAGATGATCGTTTTAGCGACCGAGGGAGATGATCACGATATGCTGTGATCGCGGGAGTAAAGCAATCGTCTTTAGTGATTTCACCAAAAGTTTATTGCCCAGTAAAGAATGATTGCTTTGAGATAAACAACACAAAACTTGAACAAGTATCTGGAGAAGATTTTTATTTTGGTGTGGATACAGTTAACACTGAAGATAGTTCTAAGCAATTAAGTTACACTTTCCTGATACATTTACTAACAATCTTAAAGGAATTGGTCTACCAATCACGACTTTACTTATGTGAACAGACATTTTTGTAATTGAACTAACGTACATTAAATACAAGTTGTATAGCTATAGACTGACCGGCTAGAACTAAAAAAAAAAAATTTTATTATTATCTATTATCAAATATTGAGGTGGGGACGCCACCTAGGGTAGGTATGTATTTTAACCCAAATATGAGTGTATTCTGAAAGTTAATTAAATTTGGTGGAATAAAATTTGAACTATAAATAAAAAGAGTTGAAATTTTAAATATAATGCATAAAGATTTATTGCAGATTCTTAAGTTTTGTTCAATAAATTATATTAGAAGTTCATGAAGTAAAAGGACCTATTCCTACAAAAATGTTGCCGTGAATTAATTGTAGCCTATATACTGTAACCCAACTGTTCATAAGTTTGCCGACTCCTGATTAATGGCATCACAAAAAATAGACGGAGATATTGTAGATGGTATTTTGGCTAAAACATTTTCTTACTTAAAATGTGTAAAGCAATTTGTCACCTGAGTTTTTGATTTATTTTTGCAGAAGCTTTGAAGATTACAATGTGTCAAGGCGGGCCACATTTTTGGGTGCTAAGTTAAACAACGGAAGGTTTTTAGATTGGTTGCGGCTTCTAGCACCTGACTGTCCTGTACACAAGTTAAAATCATTCAGTGTGGAGATGTTACTGTACTTAGCGAAGGAGACGGTTGCTCAGCTTGTAGACCTTGCACTGCTGCTACGGCGAGATGCGTCTGTGTCTCCACTGGACCCTTACAGTCGAGCGCACCGCACTACACTCTCATTCGAGACCTTCGGTACCTCTCAGCGACAGGTAATAGACATAACAGTAATTTTTTGTTGCAACAGAATGTTATTCATTTTTATTTATGATAAGTAAATTCTCTTATGATAAGTCTGAATCAACTAATATAATGCAGAAAGATGAACTCGACTAAGAATTGGGTAGGAGGTGCATGAATTCCCACGAAAGCCTTCTCTAAAATGTGCTCTTGTTAGTTGTTTTGTAGTGGCCTATTGTTCTTTAATGTGGTTTTTGTAATGCACTGCACTTAACTATGAGGATGTTTGCACAAACCAAATTTATATTTCAGCATCTGATGACTTGGTGCAAAGGTTAATCTCCCTCAAATCAGATCCCATCATACTTAATGGTGATTCGCCTATTGGGTCTGATGATGATTGGAGTGTCCAATCAAAATCGATCACCACTTACCATCTTTTTTGTGTATTTACCGTCTTGTGAGTAACAGTATAAGCGTAAATATATGTTTTAAGTGTTATAAGACGTTTATTTTATTTACTTTCCGTAAAATACATGCGTAAATATATCATATCTAAAAAATGCACAATTAAAGTATCTCTTACTTTAAAAACATCTATATTTGAAGACCTAATCCAAACCCATGTAAATCAGTTTAACATTGTTATCAAAAACTTAAAATCTATAAATTAATACGCTACATGGAAAGTTTGTTCCCGATAAGGCTTTTTTTATTTTAAGAATACCCCCACATTCAGGGGCAGTTCTGAATAAGCTCCGTTTGCTTCTTGCGTGGAAAGTGGAGGGGGTAGCATCGCCATTCGCGTCACAGGCCACTAGGTCAGTTGGCGTCCAGCCGTGGTAGTGTAAAGGTCGTCTGAGTACTAGTTTATTGCCGTAGAGTGAAATGAAATGAAATAATATTTTATTTCCCAACTACTTCGTATAATTCATGGTATTTACATAACTATTATACAATCCTTAACTTAAAAAAAAAATAATTACAAAAGGATACTATATCTAAATGGCACAAAGAGAGAAAAAAAATACCTTATCAAATTATAAGGAAAAGGTCTACATAGGCAGGGGCCTGTGCGTAGACATGAGTTGCGGGTAATTTGTATAGTGGGAAATTTAATCTTGAGCGTAATTGTTAGCACGTCTTGTTGGATATAAATTTTTGTCTTGCTTGGAACTGGACTACGATATTTTTCTGAACTAGGAAAATCATGATATCTCTTCAAAATCAAGTGATAGGTGGAGTGGAGGGGAGTGGTTAGTGGTGTATTAGTGGCGAGACACCTTTAGTCTGATTTTGATACACATTTAGTATGTTATAACCCTTTAAATTGTGAACAAAATGGTAGAAATCCCATTCCTGTAAAAATTAGGGTTCAAAAGTTATTGTAACTTATTTAATTTTCCCATAAAATAAGAGAAAATTGTATGTCAGAAAAAAATTTGGTTTTGATTAAAATTAGTTATGTGATGGTCCTTATACAGGGCCGGACTTAGGACTTCAGGGGCCCCGGGCAAATTTTCCAATGGGGCCCTAGGATTTCAGTTTGGGGGGTCTTCCGGGGGGATTGGGGGGCATGGAATACCCCCCAAGCCAAAGGGGGGTCCGGGGGTCCTCCTCCGGGAAAATTTTCTAAATTTAGGCTTCAAATAGAGCAATTTAAGGCCAAATAAACAATAAGTTCTATATCAAAAATCGTTCTTAAAATATAAATATTTTTAAATATTTTTATATACAGCATCTTTTAATTATATACACAAAAAATAAAAATGTTTGAAACCTAATCTCTTGCATTCACTATTTAAACAAACTCTGACCAAATGTTTCAATTGCTTTGTAGTACCAGTGTCGGCATATTTGGTATGGTAGCGTGGTAGGCTACCATAATATATTTAGATTAGAAGTATTGATATATTTTTGTTTATTACGTATTTAAATTATCGATTATTGCCGTCAATTTGTATGATTTTTCAATATTACTACAATATAGGTGTGATTATTTTATTTTCATAATGGTTTTGGTACATATGGCATTCTCGTTTTTATAATATGTTAAAGTCCTAGCATGAAAAGTACCATTGAGGACTTTCAAGTTTGAGTTTTTTATTGACGAGCAAAATCTTGCAATGTCTAATAAACACTCACAAGCTAACTATTTATATGAGTAACTGAAAGATGTTTAAATTGATCCAATATCGATTAATACAACACAAACATCGCATTGAATACAGCATTACTCACTTCAGCTTTGTTTTTGTACTGTTAGTTTGCAGAATTACAATAAAATAACACAAAATTAAGACAATTTCAACCAACTTGACGTGACCACTAGTTTCAAAGGACAAACTATGGGAGTAAAGTGATTTAAATTGTTTTGGATAGGCGATAAGGCATTTTATGTGTGTGTATGCGCGTGCGTGAGACAGACAGGACTACACAGGATCCCTTATCAGCTCATTATTATTTATTGTTGCAGCTGCTTCTGCTTATCGCTTGTTTACGATTTCAGTCGACAATGCTCGCCCACTCCCAATAAATGTAATTTTTTGTTAACATCAGTCAGACGACTCTAGTTGTTTTAAAGTGTCTATATAGATTTTAAAAATCTTACTGGCGCTGTATGATTTTGACTCCAAAGACTAAATTAGAGATCAAAATTTTGACGCATAACTTAATTAAATACTATTTTACAAAACCTTTAAATTGAATGGATAATATACTTCTACTCCTTAAAATCCTGATTGGTATATAGGCCAATCAAAGGCCTACTTAGAGGTAAAAGAAAAGAAAAACATTTAATAAAACATAAACGGAGCAATGTTTTTATTTTTAAAAGTATTTGAACTCCAGTGAATCTCCATTTAACACAACACAATTTTACAAGTTACGTTCTACGTTGGGACAAGAGTTTTCATATTTATTGTATTTTTGCCCCAAGCGCGGGGCCCCTTCAACTCATTCGCCGCGGCCGTACGTTCGGGCGAGCGGCTTCGTAACTGAAACTTGTCCGTCACAGCCTAGCACATATGCTCGTGTAAACCAGGCCTAAGCGTGGGGCCCAGTGCAACTCTGAGGAAAAGTCCCTTAGGGTCAAGAATTTTGTTCCTAGTAATGCCTTAAAATGCACCTAACAATAACCTAAAATATAGGATAACGAAAATAAAAATAAAGCTGTTACAAAAGAAGGCCATGTGGTAAGTGTCTGATCAATTTTCAAAGTTATTAATAAAAACTACTGTGCAAGGGGGCCCCTGTCGGGGCCCCCCTTGGCCCGGGGGCCCCGGGCGCTCGCCCCCTTCGCCCATAGGTAAGTCCGGCCCTGTCCTTATAATTCTTACTAATATAGTGCAACCCCTATTGCTGTAATAATTACAGTTCAACAAGTATTGTAACTATTGTTATTTTCCCATAAAAAACAGAAAAATGGATTTTAAAAAAGGAATTAAGGAAAAAAGGAATGGATTTAACGGTTCTGGTTGAAGTCCGTCTGTTATGGTCCTTGTCGTTACAAAATAGTGCAAACCCCATTCCTGTAAAAATTACGATTCACAAGTTAATGCAACTTTTGTGATCTTACCGATTAAATATCATTGTTACTCTCATTGCTTACCCATGATTAAGGTTGTTGACAAGCTAATGGGAGAAAATATATGTCAGATTTCTGATACCATTTATTTATTACTTACCTTATATTGAATACTCCATTAACTGAATTGATTTATTCATGCAAGAAGACACTTCAATCTTTTTTATTCGGAATCACAAAGGTCCCTCTAGTGTTAATTTAAAACCAGACATGACTAAAAAAGCCCCAGGTATTTATTATGTTGTATTTCATGTAGCTATCTTTACTGTAGCCGATCTTCGCAAATTTTAATTTTTTTATAGTTCTAAATTGTTACAGCTGGAAGGATCCCCACCAATCACTCCCGGTGAAGTGAGGGAAGTGTTGAGAAGATATTACTCTACCCAACTCCATCCTTGGGGAACCTTCACGTGCAACCTAGACACTGCCGTCTTCAACAAGATCCTGGCCTGTTGACACATGATTGTTAACCTTTATTTTATACCTTCTACCTTCATGAACCAGTGTAAATATTGTAAACAATTATTTAAAGTATTTTACTATGACTTGTTTTTTATAATTTATAATTGTAATTTCCCACATGTAGACCATCACAGATTGGAGAAGTAACAAAACATGCAATAAGGTCTCCTATGATTATAGTAGTACCAGTACCATGGCGCATATGATAATTATTCAAGCATTCACCTAGTAAGTTTAGAACTTTAGAAGTGTATCAAGATGACCAGACGGTGGTCTATACGCTGCTACTACCAACAGCTTGATGTTAAAGTTAATAGCCACAGATACAGCAGCCAGCTCGCAAACACCTTCTTCAACAAACTCACTGCAGTGTAGAAGCTCACAATTAATGTCAGGTTGGCACCATATACCTGATCCTCCTCTCCTCCAAAATTTCCAACATTGTTATAGCTGATCTGCAGAGTGATGATTTGCAGCCATAGTTATTCAGTTTTGAATTAACAATTTCATTGCTGTTTAGAAAATGTTCGGTCAGACATTTGACGACTGGAGACTCATCCCCTATTAATAACTCGAGCTCGTCCGTCTTAGAAAAGAGGCTTCTTATGTTTTGGTGGAGAAATTTTATACTCAAACGCTGATTCCTAATCCTCGGCTGAGGAAAAGTGCCCAAGGGACCCTGGGAGGGTTTCAGGCTTCTCCTAAAAAAGATTTGCCAGAAGTTTTGCTAAGGCTAGTTTCCCCTTATGGTTCAAGTGTAGTCCGTGCCGGATGTATAGTTGACGGGAAAAAGAGTTAACATGCATGAATGTAACATTTTTGTAAGTGTGTGAAAGATATATTAATTGTGAATGGACTGAGGATATGGCACTATTTAAGGAAGGTTTGTTATGTCTGTTTGGTATACCTCACTAAAGAAAACTCAATATAGAATCAAAATCGTCACAACATCCAGAGTTAACAATATTGTTTATGCCACTGTCCCACCGACAATAACATCAACACTTTCCTTGCCAAAGGCCTCTATCTTTATTTTCACTAGCTAATACCTGTTCCATCTTAGCATTAGGAATGACAGTACTAGATACATTAAATTTACTGTTTAGGCCAAAGTCATAAGTTATAATGTTTGCGGCATTTATAGCATACTGTTGCCATAAATTTTAATACATGGAGTTTTTGTTGAAATGGCTGTATAGGGAGCTACAGGTAAGGTTTTTTAGCGATTTTGGAAGAGGTGACCGTGAAATGGTTTCGTTTGTTCTTTTTGTTTGGATTTTGATGCTTCACAGTTATCCTGGAGTTATGGCAGGATTTATGGTAGGATTGTACTGGGCTTGTGTTCTCATGTGGAAGTTTCTCCAGACATAGGTCACCGAGGATGGAGAATCTGTTGGAAGTGCTTAGTCCAAGGGGAGAAATGGTAGGAGCATTGATTTTATCAGGAAACTTTGTGTTTTTGGCTCTTACATTTACAGGGTTGCCACCAGCCATGAAAACCTTGAAAATCTTGAATTATGCATGAATTCTTGTGACCATGAAAAAAGGCATGGATTTCTCCAATGGACCATGAATTTTCAAAATCAGGAACAATTATTCAACCAGTACCATTAAATTTTCCAAATAAAAATATTTCATATTTTAAAAACAGTCCATAGAAACGAACACCATAAAAATACTGTGTGGAGATGATTATTTAACATGTTCCATGATCAGAAACAATTGCTTAGTTTATTTCAAGTTATCCAAAGATGCTGATGTCAGCTGAGACCTCCCGAGGACTGTAGGATGGTTCGAAAAAATCATCCGTAGGCCTACCCCCAGTATGGACTTAAATCACAAAAAACAGAAGTTTTAGACCATGCACTGAATTGAAACAGGGTGCGCAAAAAACCCTAATTTCCTACTCTGATGCCTGATTTTTTTAGCTTTTTGGATAAAACTATCATATCACATATCATATGACTATCATAAAATCATATCATACATATCATAAAACTATCATATCATATTTTATATGTTGTGGATTATGATAAACCATAATGTACATTTCATGACAATTATGTAAAGGGATAAAACAAGACTTTTTTGGCTGGGTGAGTGGGGTTTTTGTTTTATTCCGGTGGAAAGACTGAATTAGACCTAGACTTAATATATTTTACAATACTTCTCCAATATCTCAAGTAGAATAGCTGGACCTGTTTTGTTTTCAACTTTGTTTTGAATGTTTGTAAATCACTCACTATATTAGGTATGAAGGGTTATTCAAATGCAACACAAAAAGAAACTGCCTCTTTAACGTCAGTTTATGAAATCAGCAAAACTCAATTGTGTTGAAATTGTATAAGGCATCGACCATGAATTTTTTTAAACCACCAATGAAAACCATGAATTCTGCATGAATTTTATCATCCCACTATGGTGGCAACCCTGATTTCATATCCTTCCAGCTTTTTGAGATGACTTTCTTTAGTCTTGCCACTAAATGTTTAGAAGCACTTGTTTCGTTTTAATATTATAGATGATTACGGTTACACATTTAAAAATTGCACTTCGATTAATTAAATCAGTTATGTAAGGCACAATGTTTTTAATCTCACTTGCTTAAGTTTTTCTTACAAAACGTGATCGGAAAAGGTTGTAATATTAGTAAGCAGCATTATTAATGTAAACATTTCAGTGACAG